TTTCCAAACTTTTGTGTTCTTTGAGGTCTCTTTTTCTGATGGGTGGTTTTTGGCTTTTGTTTTCCCGTCCCCTCTGCTTTTCTGGAGTTGAGAATCAAAAGAACTAAATCTGAAAATGTTTTTAATTTCTCCGCTTTTCCTCATTTCAGTGTGTTCTGATGCTTCATGTTACCCTGTCCTCTGAAGTCCCGTTGATGTTTGGTGCCAAATATGTGGCAGCTTACACCTAGCAGGAAGCACAATAGTGTCTCTGTGTGTTTAGGAAGATTTAAAAAAAGAAAATCAAATAAAGTGCTACTTCATTTGAGAATCTGCACTAATATTCTGGCACAAAAGTAGCCATATGTGTCAAAGATACAGACCGCCAGCGGAGAAAATGTAAGAGTAAAGACAGTTTAGAAAATTAGCAACTTCATTAGACAACTCATGATGAACAAAACGGCAAACTACTACGGTAAACCATGTGAAAATTCCTCGTGACAGTTTATGCATTTAATTTGTTCAATATCTCTCTGGCAGTTTAATTGCAAATATTACAGTTTAGGCAAGACAAGCAGCGATGGGCATTTAATTTAAAGCAAAGCATCAGCGCCATCTGGTGGCCTTTGCAGAGCTGTGTAGTGGTCCTGGCACTGCTCTGACAGCGGAGCTCAGGTGAGCCATGGGATGAGAGCTGGAATAAACTCTTTCTCATCTTTTTTTTTTTCTTTTTCCCCCCAGTGGGATGTTTTGCAGAAAAATTAAATGTCTTCAGTATTACAGCTTGTTATTTAAACCTACTTTCTGCTTTAGGCACAAGGACTGTTAGCCATATTTTCTTAAGTTAGTTGGGAGATGGAGGAATGGCAGATGCACCTCGTGCTAGAAATGGGGTGGTGCTACAAGCTGGAGAGGGTCTGTGTGCTTTGGGCTTTTTTTCCTTTTTGATGCGCCTTTAAAATACCTGCTGGGGAACAAAAAAGTTAAAAATGGAAAACATCACTACTGTTGCATTTTGGACTAAAAAGGAAGGTTGTCTTGGGAAACAAAATGTGTAATCCTAGCTCTAGGAACAGAGATGTAAAAGCAAACTCATGTTTTTTTTCATGAGAAAATGGTTGGAAAATGATGGCATCCTTGTATAGGATGGGTGGAACCCGAGTGGGGCCATTGGACTGTCTAGGATAGCATTGGAAAGCTGCTTTGCTTATTTGCACATTGGGGGAACTGTTGTATTTTCACTCATGTCAGTGCTGGTAGATAAGTTTGTACTACTTTAAAACACTTGCCCTTATGATCTCTGGCTTTCTTTGCAAGGAACTCTCCGTAATTCGTTGTCGGACAACAGTCCTCGGCGAGGGATTTTGTTGACAGGGGAGGTGCTTGGCCTTGTCTTGTGGGGTTTGGGTCAGTGTTGCCTCAATGTGAGGAAGCGTGGGTTGCTGTTTTCCTTTTCCCAAGAGGACCTGCTGTGAGAAAACGGTGTAAAAATAAACAGACAAAACAACCAAGTCCCTGGCTTCACATCGGCTCCGTCCATCATCTGTTTCCCTTAACCTGTGCAAAGAAAGGGCCATTAGGAAGGGGCGTGCAGGTGGGTGGTTGGGGCACACTAGTGACCCATGTCACCTCTCTGCTTGTCATCTTTAACCCTGTCACTGCCTTCCTGTCTTCAGAGGAGGTGAAGGAAGCAGGGTGAGCCGGAGCAGCTCGGCTCAGCGGTGTGACTGAGGACGAGGATGAATGAGAGGAAGTAGCCGAGAGACGCGGGGAAAAGAACAGCCACCATGAGCCGGTTCTTGCTGTCTCACTGATGGCTGGTGCCAATGTCAGTCTCTGAAGGCTGTTCAATAACCATATTTAGAAGTGGTTCAGAGATGGAAGATTTTTGTGTTTGATCAGGAAATGAAGGACTTTGAGGATTTTTGTAGCTTTCTTTTTGAAAGGGATCTCTGAAGCGGACCCTGCTGTGCTAACCCATGCTTTCGTTATCGCAGTCTAGATGAGATTGTTTTAAACTTGTCTGAAAATTGAAGGGAGCGCAGAATTCAGCAGCCCTTCTAGTGTCACATCTGGCCAGATGTTTTCAAGCTTCACCCTGGCAAACAGTTATTTTTTGTCTGGAGGCAAGCATTGACTTTGCATCTGTGCAACCTGAGGTGGCAGAAGAGAGGCTGCTGCTGACGGCCTGAGCTGGAGGTAGCACTTGGGTTCTTCTGTCCAAAGGTGCTGCCAAGTTGTGAAGTTCTTCCCCATCCAGCACAGGGGTGTCCAATTAAACTGCCCTGTATGGCAGGTTGGAAAACCTCTTTCTTGTTCAAATTTCAGTGAAGGATTGCACAACAGGGTGGCTTTGCTAGAGTTTGCAAGGGTTTGCTTTACCTTGCTAGCAGCTAGCTGTAGAAAATCTTCGCAGTAACTGCTGGAGGTCTTGAAAAAACTTTTCTTCTTTTTAAATAAAGACTATTGATAACAAAAAAAAGGTGTAAGTTGGTTCTGACAGTGCCACCGCACGTTCATGTATGATTCAGTTGTGTATTCTGAAACTACAAATCTTTTATCCTTTCTTTGAAACAGAAATGCTGGCTTGGGTGTCTGTTCCATGTCTTGCAGATTTGGGGGCATTTTGGCTCCATTTGTGCCATCTATGGTAAGATAATTTTCTACTTTTTATGTAACTCAGGTTTGCTAAATTCTCTGAAAAGCACTTTGCCGATTTTGGTACCACATATGCCTGTCTTCCTTGAAAAAAAATCTTTTTTTATGAAAAATGAAATAACATTCCCTCCATATGAAGAATTAATGAACAAGATGTTTAAAAGATACCTGTTATTTTATCCTTTTTGGAAATAATCTAACGTGTTCTGTGTTGTGTTAATATTTCACCTGTTAGTGAAATGCTTGTCATCTAATGCATTTGGTACCGCTAAGGCTCTCTCGCTATCTGAGTTTTTTGGCACATAAATAAAGTTTTCATATGAAGCTGTTTCTGTGAAATGACATTTATTGGGTTTCTTTGTTCTACCGGTATGTGGATAATTGCACAAACTGCTGCCATGAAAAGCTGTAGTCTTTTGGTTTTGGCTGCAGTTCATATAGATCATATATTTTAAGAGCAGGAAACAATGCTGGGTTTTTACTATGCATTTTTAATTTTAGAAATCTCTTAGCGCTTCTGTACCCTTCGTGGTGTTTGGAATCAGTGGCCTGTCAGCGGGATTCCTGACTCTCCTTCTGCCAGAAACACTAAATAAGCCGATTGCGGAGAGCATTGAAGATCTCCAGAGTCCCAAATACCAAGTGCTCAAAAACGAAGAGGCAGAGTAATGGTGTTTCTTTTATTTTTTTACTGTAGCTTTGCATTATTTTCCCCTCTATCTTATGCGAGCCATCATTTAGTGCGTATTGCTTCGATTGTGCGTCAAGGAACGTGTGCATGAAGTTTTTAAAGCCATCTTTCTCTCACGTTCAGTGGCGATTAAATTTACGCTTTGGCTCTTAAAGATGAAAAGGCTAACAGCTTTCATCTCTATGTATTAAATTATATGTAAATGAATCCTATTTTGTTAGAAAGGCAGCCTAAAATAATCAGGGACAAGACATTCAGCAACATTCCTGTGCTCTTACAGTAAAACAAAAAATACAGTAGACATATTTTTCGTACACTGGCTTATGCCTTTTTGTCATGTTTCATAGTGTAACATAAATTAAAATATATATCCCAGGAAGTGTTTTATCCTTCATTAGTCTCCCAGGTTAGAGCTATTTGAAGTGTTTTCCTGTTGATATGCATTAAAGAAAGCTTTTGAAGTGGGAAATGAAAGTTTTGTTTGTTTCAGCAGGTAATAGAAGAGAAAATGTGCAGTATATCCCCGAAGTTTGGGAATGGATTCCTGAAGGCATTAATTTTAAATGGGGGAGGGGAAAAAAATTTCCTATAAGAAAGGAATTGTTAGCTTAGAACTAAGCAGGCTTAGTGTAGATGTAAAAGAATATGTGCTTTTCTTATCTTTTTCTTGATATGCTACCTTGTTAATTATCTGGTAATTATTGTACCTAATCAGTTTAATCATACTACGCACACTACTACACGTTCTTTTTATGCCTAACATAGTAATACTGCATTCAGTTAAAATGGAAAAAAAATTTTTTTTGAGCTTTTCAAATATCATTTTGCTTTTAATTTCTTAAAAAAATCAATGAATTCTGGTTTTCACATTTAATATTAGCCTGTAAAATAGGGCAAGAGAAATAAGACGTGTAAACTGCTTTTCAATAATTATTTTTTCTTCTGTCTGACAGGCAAACCAGTTAGAAGAAAACACTTAAATTCCAGAAGCCCTGTCTGTGGTGGAAAATGAAGCCTCATTGAGAAGGTGCTGTACCACTTGAAGGGCAGAGTCTTGCTCTGTCTGTCTGAGAGGAACGGTTGGAGGACTTGTGCGTGATGCTGTTTGTAGCACGTTGAACAGTTTTGTGTGGAGGCAAATGGAGAAGATGGAAGAAGTTGAGCAAAGCTTGTGAGAAAAGAGGTGACAAATCTGTGCGTTAATTTAATGACTTGACAAAAGCGTACTTTGGATGTTTGGACTCCTCTACGGCTTCTTAAAATGAAGTATTAATTTATTTTACAAAACGTAATTGCTAGCTTTGGATTAAGCTGTAATGTTGTAATTGAAGTGGTGTGTATAATTTAAAATGTAGATGGCCTTATATATTCAGGCAAGCTGTAATCGTGAAAAGTAACAGCATCCCGTATACGTTAATTTTCTCTACAGGGTTTTTTGCCTCTGAATTATGGTATGCCTCACAGTGTGAAGAGACCAAAGATTTTTATGGGTTGTTTGCCCTAGTATGTCTAGCATAAGAAACGTGAACAGGAGATCTGAAAGGAGAATAAATGGATTTTAATGTGGGAGTAAGTAATTTTTTTAATACAGTCATACATGAAAAGATACATAAAGTTAAAAATAACACTATCGGAAAAATGATGCCAGGCCTTTAAGAGGTGCATTTAAGGAGAGGATGAGTAACCTTGAGGCAAAGGTTATTCAGTTCTAGCTGTACATGTGGAACTAGAAATTATTTAACGAGTCATAGTGTATAATATATGTAATAATATGTAATCCAATACATTTCACATACGAATGGGAAATTCTTCCTGCGAGTGGTGCATGTCTGTTAAGATACTTACGTTGGAATAGATGCATCACAAATGTTACATTTTTTTGATGGCCAACAGAATTTTGTTATTAAAAAGAACATTATTTAACATCTGTATTATGAGTGCTGCTTTTTCCGGGATGTTTACCCAGGCTTTTTGAAGAATACTTGTGTCATCTTGATTCTGGCCCTTTATCTAATACACCTGATAGGAAAAGGTTACTGAAAGGCCTCTGTGATTTGAGCAAGTTCCATAGTTAAATAATAATATATATTAAGAAATAATTCTGCAAATGAACATGCACCCATGCAAGTGTGTGTGCACTTACACGCACGTGTGCACACATAAGCACACGCAGGTTGCTCTGCCTGGATGCCTCACTGAAATCTGTGTGGTGTCCATGTGTGCTTTACAAATAGCCTGATGGGCTTCCCAAGGGGAGAAAATGAATTGGCAATCGGAACAACATCTAAATGATGTTGACATACGGGTGGATTGCACATGCATTTGCTTAACCTCTGGGGCTGAAGCTTGATGACAAACAGACTATTGAATACACTGGGAACTTTTATCTTCTGATCATTTATTTATTCGTAATTTTTGTGATGTTTCAGTTTCATGAGGATTAGAATTGAGTTTGTGTGATTTTTTTTTTTTTTTTCTGAATAATATTAATGCCTTTCATTGCATTAACATTTATAACCACAGTGACCGATTATACCTCTTCAAAGATAATTGGGTCCGCAGGGATATGGTAAAGACCAAGTTTTGTTACAGTTGACTTCAATTTTTTTATTACAAGAAATAAAATTTAATAAGAAATAGAGTGATATAAAGTTGGATTCCCAAAGCAGAGACAAGACTCTGGAACAGGAGGACCGTAAAGGGTACCATTATGTGGTGGGAGTCTGTTTCTCCCTCCTGCCACATGTATCAGGCTGTATCGGTGCGTTTTTCCTCTGCCTTTTATTCCATATTATGAGAAGAACAGGAAACAAAGATCATCTACATTTTGAACGTGCTTATTTCTGCTTTATTTGACCTGGAATGAATGAATTCTTTGCCTGGGGCGACTTCGGTGCATTTGGTGGATTGATGACCAGAAAGCTGTGTGTCCTGGAAAGAAGTTAATGATCTTTTCAGCAGCGCTGGCGTGGTACCTACAGCTCTTTTTAGGAGCGTAGGCCAGCGTGGAAGCTGGTGTGGTAGCTCGTCTCCAAGATCCAAAAGAGAACGTGGATGGAAACATCGACTTCCATTTCTGCTTTTTATATTTTTCAATTCAATTTAACACCTTGTTTTCTGCTTTGTTTACTTTATATATTTTTGCTGCATTTTGTTAGTGCCAGATAAAAGGACGCTATTTGGAAAAATGGTTTTCCAGTTACATGTTTAGAAATAAGGAAATTATTTGCAGCGTTATTACAAATATTTTCAATTGGACTAATGTGATGAGTGCATTATACCTTACGAGGTCCTAAAGTTAAGAAACCGACTGTGTCATTCATTACTGTATGTGCCATGGCAAATCAGAAACGTCAGCATTTTTGTTCCAATAGCTGCATTTTTCAGAGTAGATACCTTCCCTTCAAGCTTTTGGAATTGTAGAATTAGAAATTCTTCACTTAAAGCAACTTTTTTTTCCCCATTATTTTTAATGAAGACAAGTCAGTCTTCATTTATTAGGAATGCCCAAATAAATTCTTTACTCAGTGTGGGACTACTGTCTATTGCTTTCCATATCTTTGTAAAAAGAACAAAGGAACTGAGTTAATTTAAGTGGCTTAATTATGCATGTTAGGTCACAATCCCCATCCTTAAGTATCACTTTTAGCTCTTCCCATGTGCTTTATTTGTGTGTAGAAATTTGATTATAACGTTGCATCTGCACTGTTCATCTGTTTCTGTTAGAACAACGTCTTCAGTGCTTAGTTGTGAAATTGCCTCTATTTCTTCATCTGTTTTTAAACTGATTTGAAGTCTTTTCACTTCGGTATTTGAGAACTCTGCTGCTTTCTGGATTTTATCATGTTTCAGCTGCAAATCTCAAGGCTTTAAAAAAAAAAAAAAAAAAAAAGAGTTGGCCTCTTTTCACTGTCCTTAAAAACATCTGTGATACTGCCAGCATGTCCAGAAAGGAAGTCTGAGCTGATTTCAGGTTTTTCACTCCTTTCTGTGTTTCACCTTTAATCTTACTGTATTTTTACCTAAGGAGTGCTGGGGTTTTTTTCTGTCTTAGGAGTGCTGAGCCAGAGGCGAAGCTGTAACGTTCATTTATGCCACCTACATTTTAATGCCATTTCCCTGTCATTAGGCAATATTTATCCTTTAATTCTTGGTTAGGTTTGTTTAAGCCCCAGTTTTCCCCTTGTCAGAGGAAGAATATAATTTGTAAATATTAAAAAATATTTTTCCATTGCTGCTCCAGTTCATGCCATCTTTTGTTCACATTTTGTCGTTCCACGGCCTTCCCGGTGACCAACTCGGCATGGAGAAGCAACAAGGATGCGTCTGAATCACAAAATACCCTCTGCTTTATTTTGTCATCAGCTGGTGATGACACACCCGCACACCCATGCACCACGTTAAAAATCAGGTCAGGTATAAAGGCAGGGCTTGAGTTCCTTTTTCTGGAAAGTAAACTTTTCCCAATATTCATGTCAAGCTCATCTCAGTGTTGTTTTTCATTATCCCATCTGATGTTTCATCAAAGCGGTTTCCTCCTTTGTTGGAGGAATGTATGTTACTGCTTGATGTGAAGGCTATAGATTCATTTTTAGAATTTATCCTTTTTAATCTGAGCAGAGCGAAGTACTAATAATCCTTTGCTTTGTTGACTAATACTCTTGCAGCTAAGCAGCAGAGAAAGGAGGAGGTGAACTTTTCACACTACCATCTGTAACCAGCTGGTTCTGCCGTTCAATTTTTAGTTTGCTTGAGGCAAATAACCGTATTGTGTATTACAGCATGCAAGAGATCTAATTTTTTCCATGCAGTGAGTTACCACTAGTTCACTGCAAAGGTCATCTTTCTTTGTATCACTTGCTACAGGAGATGTAAAATTTCCTAGAGATGATTTTGATAGATGCAATCCTTCCATTAGAGTTAAATTTGCGAAAATAGTGGACAGATGTACAGCTACAGGCAAGCTATATGTAAATCTGCAATGATCTTTTCTTGTAGTCGCAGAATTTCTTTTTACCAAGACTTCCAAATCCGTAAAGAAATGTGTGGGCTGTAATGTGCAGCGGGAGTGCTGTTTGTGCCCACCTGAGGAGGGTGGTGGACCACCGTAGCTGGAGATGTCAGTGAGGGAAAAGGAATGTGGCTGAAAAGTAAATGAGGCTTGGAAATCAAACTGTTTCCAACTGGTGCACACTTGTGGCATGATCCTGTATTACACCAGGATCCTTTTAACTTGATATTAAATAGTTACGATACTTTCTGTACTAGGTGAACTCCTGTTCCTCTGGGCAGTCTCCTGGTTTAGGAAACAAGCTGGTGTTGGGATGAATAAAGCACAAACGTAGCAGCAATTTTGATAGCTTACCAAAGCACGCTACAGCTCTGACTGGAGTGGTTTGACAGTGTGGGTTCCTGCAGTGGTCCAAAGAGATTTGAAGCTGTGCAGGCTGATGGCTTTTCTTGGCTTTTCACCTCAGAAAGGCATGGAACACTGTTTAAGTGACATCATCTTCCCATGTAATGGCAACTTCATTGTGCTAATGACAGGTAAGGCTGAATAGACTGGCTGACTCTAACTCTTCCAACAACTTCAGCCACTTGGGCTGACAATTTCTACACTGGACTTTCGTCTGCCAAGAAGCAGTACTGCCAACATTCAGTTGGCCATATTTTAAGTTTCCTTGTTGTGAAAGGCTCCAGGAAAAACTGGTGTTTACATGTTGGGGTTTTTTTTAACTCTTTTTTTTCAAAGAGATGCTGCATCTGCAACACCTCATTTCTTGTTTGTCACAGCCTCACATCATTTTCTACCTTCCTCTGCACTTTTTTCCCTACTAGGCCATCTACAGGGCCTGATTGAATTCTCATCTCTCTGTACCAATGTGCGAAGGAAAAGAAAGAGACTGCAGTATATTTCTGGCATGCCTAAGGAAACTAGAATCCGTGTACGTGAAATGGCGTTACTCCAGATGTGTCCAGGCTGAAAGAAATTGCTGTTTCTTTTCAGCATTCCCTAAATGCATGGTTGGTCAGGTTTATAAATGTTGATGTCAAGATTCAGTGACAGCTGGCTCTGAACATTGCTGCAAGACACCCCACAGCAGCGATGTTACACCCAGCTCCTTCCACCAGGTTTCTGCTGTATTCATCTGTTTCAAACCATTATTTAATCCTTACGATAGTGTATGCTATTGCTCATTCAAATGTCCAATCCTTTTTTAAGGCCTGCTGATCTCTTGATTTCAAAGCTATGATATGATGGCTCAGCAGTCTGTTGTTACATTATGTTTGTTTCCTTTTATTATTTTATATTTGCTGTCTCTTGGTTCCATTGGAGATACCAATGATTGGGAATAATGGCAGTGAACAGGAACGCTTGACCTAAAGATACACCCTGCAGTTTAATGCTGTATATTTTGTATTGTCTGGTTTCTCTTCTTTTGAAAATGTTCCAGTTATTTCTGTGAATGGATGCTTTGTCAAGGCCTCTCATTTTTATATCTGTCTCGTGCTTATGTAATGAAATTCCCACAGTATGTCTCCAGTTTTACTTGTGCTGAGAGCTGCTGATACACCAGTGGCCGTAGCCTGTGTGAGGGCTCAGAGCAACCACTCTTGACTTGCAGGAGTGTGTCCCTGGCTATGTCTGGGAAAATTACCACCAAACCTTCCCTTTAGCAGGGGGGCTATTCAGTGTCAAACTCCTAAACTGCTTTGATGGGATTTGAGGGGTGTTTTCAATGCTGAGATTTTCCTGACCAATTCCCCCATGGCTGTGGTGACCTGAAGGGTCAGGGTTCGAGCTGGGAACCACCTCCACCTGCATTGGGGTACAAGTATGTGCAGGGCCAGCTCAAAAAAATGGTGTAACGAGCAACTTCTCTGTCTCAGAAATAGTTGGCTGCTTGAGGGAGTGATTGCTTATCCCTGCTTCTCACCTGGGGGTAACTTTTTACAGCTGACCTCATAGTTCTTACCAAAAAAAACCCCAAACCTAAATGTACTGATAGAAAACCAACCCCAAAAAATCCCCACCCAACACAAGTAAAAATTAGGTTTAGAAATGAAAAAGCATGGAAAAGCAATGACTTATGCAGCAGTTAGTCATCTCTGTTGAAGAATGCATCAGAGAAAAGTAAAATTGGCAGCAGGAGGGCTCCTGCAGTCATGGTCTTAACAAATTGCTATGGATCTGAATTGGCTATTTATTATCTCTAATCCTAGTGGTCTACCAGGAAGGAAGGAAAATAATTACTAATGACAGATTTTAGTTAAAGTTAATTTATTGGTGGTGGAACTAATTGTGTGTTCCAGGTGTTCATCAGTTTAGCAAGACAACATTTAACTATAAAATGTTCCAATTACAATGTGGTTAATTAAACATGATGAAACTGTTGGGTTTACAAACATGCAACTAATTATATATAATTACACTTGTAGTGGGTTTATGGTATGCATTGTGCAGGATATATGAGATTTTTTTTTTTTAATTTCTTCTGGTAAGAAACTACCTTATGCTTGTGGGTTAATATATAGGTATTGACAGCTTGCTGTGTTTTGAAGACAGAAATCTACTGTGGAAAAGTTGTAGTGAGATACTAAATTAAGAGATCAGTTAAGAAACCTAAAAAAGGTGTGGGGGGAGAGTGGAACCTGCTCAGAATTTGCAGTTGAAAGGTGTATGTCTTATGTGAAGCGGTACAAGCTGGCAGTTCTTTGCTATTTAAATTCTTCTGCTATTAAAGCGGAGGGTTTTGATACAGTAGGATCAGTGTGCATTGGGTGCTGCAGGTTGCTGGGTCATCCTTAGCACCTGCCTCAGAGATGTCTGGTGAGAGAATGAGGGGTGTCCTGGGGACCGAGAGCCTCTGAGGCGGCTTTCCAGGGCTGGCCTGTGGTGGATCTGCTGGGGGTGGGAGATGGGGTATGTCTCCTTGTTGTGGTTTAACCCGGCTGGCAACTCAGCACCACGCAGCCGTTCGCTCACTCCCCCCTCCCTCAGTGGGATGGGGGAGAGAATTGGAAAGAAAATAAAAGGTTAGAGCCGAGGGCTG